GAGGGCTTGCATACTGATTTACTCCTTTCTGGAAGGCACATTTTCCACTGATACTCAGACCTGGTCCCTTGACAGCTTTGGATACTGAAGGACACAATAATTTGTGAAAAACTGTAGTCCTGAAGAGTGGTGTTGTCATGTCCCCCACTTTGCAGTTTCCTTTCATTTCAGTGTGTTGGGGGTGGGGAGCTGGGGAACGGTGGACCTGGATGAAAATAATGTCTGTCCTCTTTCAGGTCAGACCACAGGACATAAGTGCCATATTTCATTCTTGGTTTGCTGTTCTTGGCTGTGCCTAAAATAGGCTAGAACCTGCTGCTTGGATCCAACTGCAATGCGTACGGGTTTCTTTCGGAATGAATGGCACTCTGCAGATACTGCCTTCTAGAAGATCTTTTGACAGAATCCCTTCACCATGAAGCTGGCATTTTTAATTGCCTATAAGTCACCATAAATACCTGTGTGTGCGGTAAATGCTTCGTTATTGTTGAGGCACAAATGCTGAGCCCTCATAACTTTCTGAAAGTAAAGCTTCAAACTCCTACAGGCAGGCTTTCTGAGCTAGCATTCAGTATACTGACAGGATGGTCCAGTTCAAATTTCCCTGGCCCGCTGTTCCTTCGCTACTCTGAAAAATCACTTGTATATCTCTGTAAATCCGCAATCTCGCAAAACACAGTCCCTTCCTCAAAGGAGAGGCTTTGTCATATGGGGCCCAGGGGTCTCTGGGTGAGATCAGGCTTTACATGAAGGGCAAAGCCAACGTTGGCAATACCAAGGTGCTGCATGTGGGTGCTTCCCTTGGATTTGAGTCTGAAAACGCATAGTCAACTCTTATGAAAAACTGATTAGTCATGTATGCTACTTAGGCTAGTTTGGGAATTTTGTACTCAGTTTTTCAGGTCAGAGGCCGTCTCTGTGGGCTTGTACTGCACCTAGCTTAAGAGGGTTCAGCATGCTGAAAAGCGGCAACTGGTTTATTTTAACCAGAGGGTGAAGGGAGCCTGAAGAAGAGTGTCAGTCTTAAGGCTGGAAATAGCTGATGGAGAGTTGGCAGAGCTCACTTTATATGAGCTGTCACCTTGCAAAGGCATTTCAGAAACCATCAATGAGTATGCCTTGAATTCTGTCCTGGAGTGCCTTCATGGCTTCCTGTGCTTGGGTAGCTTATTCAAATCTAGTTTGGTTATGTCTGTGCTATACAGGTTGGCAGTGTAGTTACAGCCTAATCTTGGTTGATTTAGCACCCTTTTCTTCTCTGGAATTTGAAGCTGGCTGTGCTTTTCTACCTCATCATCAGGTGGCACGGATACATGAATCAAAAAAGTAAGAAGCTCCCTGATGACAATAAACACAGAAAAAACCATTCCTTCCTTGCTAAATAGCTCAATAACTGTTTTAAAGGGGTTTGTTTTCTTCTTTCAGTGGCTGATGTAAAAAAAAAAAAAAGCCTAAGGTATTTGGTAGTGATCATTGTGTTCATAGTGAAAATGCACTCTGAGTAAAGCCAAGTCTGCTGTACTGCATGATTCTGTCAATATTTCAGCCCATAAATAGATGTTGGGCTGAGTGCTTAAGGTAAAAATCATTTCAAGAAATAATATGGCTTCCACGAGGTGATGCAAGAGGAATCTTTCTAGATCGTAATGCCGGTTGTGCCTTTGGTTACCTTTTGGTAAATGCCCAGGTTCTGGTGAACACTGGATTGAGCTTATCTCTAACTACAGAATCAGTAGGATTGGCTTAGGAATGACTTGAAGCCAGAAATGTTGTTAGTGGTTTAAATATGTTGATGGGCTCTGTCTAAAAATCATGACTGTGTTTTTCTTGCTGGTGGAATAGCTGTACCGCTTTAAACAAATTGTGGGTCACCCCTCCACTCCCTGACTTTTTTCCTTATCGTGTGTTTGACGTCTCTTCTTGTACAGTCCTGTTCAGTGTTTCCAAGTCTGTCTTAATTGCTATGTAAAAAACACATGCAATAAAAAGAAAAATGCTTAAGGAGAGAAGAGTCAGAATATTAATGTCAGACATACTAACAGATAATGTAGTGTTTGAAATGAAATCCACAAAGTCTTCCAAGAAACTTGAAGCTGAATTCGTATTATTCCTGTATGCTTCTCCCCTGAAGCGAATTAATGTTTTCAAATATAGCTGTGCAAGGGCTTGTGTTCATTTTTTAACCATATGAGAAAAAAAAAAATCTTTAATTTCTTCATTTTAATATTAAAAGTCACCCTGTGGTTTTTTTTTTCCCCTGGTTTTTGTTTATTTAATCATTGAAAATTTTCTGTCCTGATCTGTATATGGCATAGGAACATGGAAGACTCATTAGAGGCAGGAATGATAATAGGAAGATTGAAGTAAATGTCTCAGCAGAAGGCTGAGAGGAGAAGGCTCAGCGAAAAGCAGAATTTTCTCCAGAAAATTTGCCAGAAAGTGGCCCAGATGGAGAGAAAGAGTGGCTTTCTTCCATGGCTTGTCAGGAAGTCTGCTGTACAGAAGGTGAGGGTGTTTGCAATGTGAAGTGGTACGTTGGTAGCGCTTTGTGGTCAGAGCTACGATTCTCCAACCTGTGAGATGACAGCTGCTGTATTTTTATTTGGAATTGCCAAGGCAGAGCTCTGCAGGCATGTGCAATGTAGTGCTTGTGCAGTAAGTTGTTGAATATAAATAGTTTGTGTGTACCTGGTGAGTCTGGAGGCATATGACTGATCCTACACAAAATACATGCGTTGTAGGTGGATGTGCAGCATATCCTTTGAGTGCCTTCCAAGAGTTGGCAGACCAAGGGAGAGATACTCATTGATTGTACACTGCATGTGTAATAGCTTGTGCTTACAAAAATGCTTTCGACTTGCTGTGTGTACTTGTTGCAGTTGACTGATGTGCACATAGCGCACGTGTCTGGGATGTCTCTGTGTACAGCAGCTTGTTTGGAGCTATGCTGTAGTAGTTCTGACAGAGCTGCTGTTCCTCTGGAAGTAGAGGGCAAGTAAAATCTGGGAAACATGTTTGGAGAAGCTCAGCCATATGGCAGCCTTATGGAGGATACTCTTAGGTTGTTTACAGCTGCAGGAAATAATAAGCCAAATTGGAGCCTCTCAGATTATGATACCGTTAGGGGTGTGGTGATAGCCTGGTACTTTCTGGTTATGGGCTGGCAAAGAGGAAAGACTGTTGGCATCAGAGAAAGGAATGGCATTGGAGAATACACCCCAAAATTTCATGGGAAGGAGAGGATGAACTATAACCAGTAATTACGACAGCTGATACATGTCTTCATTCCCATATGCTCCTTTACATCCCAAGAAGTAGATTCTAGATTTGCAGACTTGGTAGCTGCCCTAGGTCTTTAGTTTGTGTATTCCTTCTGCTTCAGAACAGAGGCCTGGTGTTTAAAATGGGATTAAAACCATACTGGTGCTTCTAGTGTCCTTGAAATAAGTTTTTTAGCTTTTTAAATATTTTTTAAAATAGGCCTTAGTTGAAAACTGCCCCTTTTCTCCCAGCTCTCCAAACAGAAAACCGACGATACTGCAGCGTAAAGGTCTCTGTATGCAGCAGGTTATGCAAGTGTGACAGTAAAACCCTCTGCTGCTTGTTCGAAAGGACTTTCTCTCTGATAATCTGAAGTCTTGGTTTTCAAAGCTTCTTGCGCAGGCGGTTATGGAGCAGCCAGCCCAGAGAATACGATCCCTTCAAGTATAATGCGGAGGAGAAGACAGCAAACAACTGGTTTTGGTAACGAGGGAAATAGCACACAGCAGGGTCTCTTTGAACATAGGCATGCTTGTGCAGCGCTTTACTGTGGTTTTGTGGATACAGTTTGATAAATGCTGGTTGCAGGAGTAACGAGAAAACGGAGAGAAGATGTCTCTTCAGGAGTAGGCGGTTAAGACTACTCAGTAGCGACCCTGAAGCAAGGGTGGAATGTTATATGGCCTGGCTTAGTTCAGTGATCTGTTGTCCTGGATTGGTTAGTGTTGTATACCTTAGGTTGAATCAGTTGTTGGCTCTGGATGGCAGATTTACAGTGATGATTCAGCATCATTATTGCCTTTCCTTATAAAGGAAAACAGTTTGCTTCCTGCCTCTTTCTTCAGAAATTCAGCTGTTATTGTAAATGATTGGAATTAGCTGTTTCCTAATGGTTGTTTTGAGTGCAGAGTCATTGAATTAGACTTTCTGCTACAAAACCAAGTAATTTCCTAATTAGCACCTTAAAGGATCACCTTTAATGCTGCCTTCTGCAGCTTTTGTACTTAAATCTCTCATTTTTTTCATGTCTTTCCTTCATTTTAGTCTGTCTTTATTCTTCTCCAGCTGCCAGCCATTTCCAGCTGCCCCTTTGCTGATTCATTGTACATCACATGAACTGCTCTATCTATGCTTAGGAAGAAGAGAAAAAGACGAAACTCCTTCACAGTCACTCTTTTCTTTATTTCCATTTCAACTTTCTCTAATTTTTTTTCATTTCCATTCAGTAGCCCTGACTTCTCCCCCTTTAATCTCCTTCGTTTTTTCCCCCGTGATCGTGCTGGTTGGCCTCTGTTCCTATGCTGGGGAAGGAGGCAGAAAGGATGCAATTAGCAGGAGGAGGTGGCTTCCTGTAGGAGCCAAGGGAGGACGATTACTGCAGTGCTGTAAGGTCTAGTATGGAGAGACTCTGTTTCAGCCAATCCAGGGCAACCATGGCATTTAGTTACTCATTAAAATGATAAGGGGACAGCGTTTAGTAGTTAGATCAGTGTATTTCACTGTGATGGGTGCGTCTGTTTACCTAGCTTTCTGTCTATTCTGGCTCATAAGCTGTTGGATGTAGAATTTTCTGTTGTTAAGACTAGCAGTTACAGTACCATTTACTGCATGTTGCTACAGGGATTAATAAAATCAGTCTTCTAGTTTTCTTTTAAAGTACAGTTGCTTCTGTGTTTTGTGGGGATGGCGTGTCTGTCCATGATAATGCTACTTTAAAACATAAATATTTGCAATTCTAGGAATGCTTTAAGGGAAGCTGGGCCACTCACAAGCTATTACACAAGAAAGCAAGTAAGTACATCTCTTTTTAATCCATTTTAATATTCTTTTGAATTTGTTTTGTCCTGTGCAGCCAGCTCTATGTGGCCCTGCTTGAGCAGGGGATTGAGCCAGAAGTCTTGTCCAACCTCAACTGTTCAGTGATTCTGTGTCTAAGAATGACAAGGATTTTTCCAAGATACCTGGCACTGGATTCTGTATATCTGAAATTTTGCCCAGTTCTTGGTAATCTAAAAATCTATGTAAAATTTTGGAGACAGTGGTATAGATATCTCTCTCTGTTCCCTTTTCTACTTGTATGAAGTATTCCTTGAGCTACATTGCCAGGTATATGAACAGAGGAAGTGGGATACTGAAATAAAGGGCAAGGAGAATAATAAACCATTATTATAAGGCATTGCCAGGCTTGTTCTATTACAGCATTTTGATGTCTAATGTGGGAAAGGTTCTCGTGAAGTCATTGTGATTACCACTTGCTGGAATGCAAGCGAGCCAGTCAGTGAAGCTGTTCTGTACACTTGGAGTATGCCCCTTTGGAAGAGAAAGAGAAATGCTTTGTATCATAGCTAGCTGAGTTTAGTTGAAGGTAATAAGAGTAAGTGTATGCCTTAGTTATAGCTGGTAGATCTTGCACAGAAATACTAGTCAACTGGTAGATTCTCCCTTACCCAAGTAGTAAAAATAATCCACAAATTTAAAACCAACCAACCAGACAGAAAGAGCAGGCCACTGTTTTGCTCTCCTTGCTTCTTACCCACCATTCCCCTGCCCATCTTCCTCGAGCCCTGCTTAAAAGGGAGGTGAGACTAAAGAGTAAGTGTCACTGCAGAAATTCAGATCCTCAAGTGATTTACCTCCTCCTTTCCTGAAACCCAGTAAAACTCCCTTTTCCGTGATAAATGTTGCATGGTTAATGGGTTGGAGCAGCACAGACAATTGCAAATGTTTTCTTTCTTTCTGGCTTTCCACTGTAGGAGTCTCACAGTTCAGACTTGCATTCTGTATCCTATTACTTCGTACCTGCATGGATATGAAACTGTCCCTGTTAGTAGTTCTAGTAGTCCTCTGGTGCAGTCTTCCAATGCCGATGTGTATCCAACAGCAAATCTGTTTGATTCCACTAAATCTGTGTTCTTGTTGGCTTCCTGGGTAACTGCTGAGCCCAAGCTGAGTTGGCCTGGTTCTGACGGCCCTCAAGATCTCAACGCAGCAAACTACTGAAGCATCTCAAGGGAATTCAAACTTACTTCATTAAAACTTTGGGTTTTTGAATTATTTCTCAGTGGTTCATTGTAAACTGAATGTCATGTGGGTGGATGGCTCAGATGTCAGCCAGGAGACTCTGAGGAACTCGCATTTAGATCTTGCTGTGGCAGACCTTTTGCCATTTATTCATTCTTGTAAGATACAAAAAGAGAAAACAAACTGAAATTATCAGGTTATGAATTAAAGATTAATGGTACCATGCTTTTTCTTAACCCTTGCCTCCTCTTTGCGAGTAAGTGTTTTTCCTTTTGGTAATGCTCATGATCTACTCGCTTCAATCTTTTGTGTAAACACGTTCCATCTGCCCTGTTGGGACAGTGTTATTTGTGAACGAAGACAGTTGCTGGACCACGTCAGACATGAATCTCACAAGGTTGTGAGAGCTGGGAACCTCCAGCAGATTGGGACTACGTTGTAAGGTGCACGCACTGCCTTGTCCTGAAATGCAGAAGTGGCAGCACCTGCAGTCTTTGCTTCAGATCTGGAGGGGTAGCAGGCTCCTTACGTTGAAACTAACAGTTGGATACTCTCCTTCCCACACCAGGTCATTTCTGTCACTGAATGCTGAGAGGAACCATAGAAAGGGAACGTTCATCTACAGTGCAGGAGCGTTAATTGAAGGGATAATGAGTGTTTGTAGAAGTATGCTTTTCCCCAAGAATCAAAACAAACACAGAACTATGTTTTAGAACTACAGATGAAGAAAAACTTAAATAATTACGAGACTTTGCTTGTGCATTCAGTACTGCTGTCCTGACATTCCCTGGTTTGCTATTGAATAAAGTTGGCAGGATGCGAATTCAGAATGTGAGAAACTTAAGGGCGATACAAAATAATAACTGCTACTTACACTATCAGTATCTAAAATGCCAGAAAGAGTCAAATCTAGACTTAGAGCCTTCTAAGTCACTTTCTGGGCCCCACAGTTCTTAGTAGGGCTTATTTTGCTGCTGCAATTTTTCTTTTTTTATCTTTTCAGAAGATGAGAAAGCCAAACGTGAAGTTTCTTCTTGGACCCTGGAAGGTGACGTTAACACAAATCCCTGGTCTGGTTATCGATATACTGGTAAACTCAGGCCACACTACCCTCTGGTAAGCAATAGGTGCCGCTTTGTTTTCCAGCGCTGCTACATTCTGTGGCCACTGATGGACCAGTCCTGACCTGTTTACCTCCCACATTTTAGCTGAGAGAGGAAAGCTTCTTAAACAGGCTGAACCTGATGGCAAGGGCATGTACGACTGTGTCCTTATTGGGGTCATTTTGATTTACCTTGGTCTATCTCTCGGTATGTTTAAAATGAAGGACGTGTCCGTGAGGTGACATGCATCAGTTACAGGTACATTTTGACATTTGTTTTGCGAAGACCTGCTGCTAGTTCCTATGATGTCTTCTAGCTCTTTACTGTTCTCACCAGTAGTGAAGTAGTCTGTTTCAGAAAAACTCAGGTGAATTAATTTAGAGTTTAAAGAAATGGTTTCACATCATTTTATGTAAATGGTTTTCAGTAACCTGCTGAGTAAGCTGGTGAACAGCTCTGCTGCAGGAACAGCCGTGCTTGTTATCTGGAGCACTGGCCTGGTGTCAAGTAACTCTGGTCAGAAACATCTTCAGCTGGGAAAGGTGGGTTCAGAAGACCTCCGTATAGCTGTATTCTTAAATTGGTACAAGTTTGTACATGGACTAAGCCAAAGTTTTTACAGGAATAATGTTATTTTATTTGCATGTGTCTCTCCTGATTGGCCTGTGCTAGAAATGCTGCCCCTGAGGCATGCTCTCTGTAGTCCTCTGCATCTGTTACATGCTCATCAGAGGATAGATTAAGAGAGCCTGAGCCCATGTGTGTTTGTGAGTGTCACTGGGAAAGGGATGTTTTGGATATGTCACCCGCCAAGTAATTTAGCAGTCTTATCGCTGAACATTTGCTTTTTTGTCTTCTGATGGCTGTAGTATTGATGCAAATGAAACTGTAATAAAAAGCACTAATGACTGGGGTGATGATTAGTAATAACAATCTTGCTAATAGACACTAATAACCAGAGAGAGGAAGAATGTATTTAGAACAACTGCATTTGCAGTCTGGAAAGTAGCAGAATAAACACTACAATGTAACGGGGATAATACGTTTCAAACCAATTTAATTTACTTGACGTGCACAAGTTTGACTTTTAGAAAGCTGTGAAGTTGGTTGTTAGAGGCTGTATAGTATGAAAGCAATAAAGAGTAAGGGGAGAATCTTTGAGAAATTAAAACTGGAACTGTTTTGGAGTATTTGCATACTTCACAGCTTTTTCTAAGTGGAATTCCTCGTATTTCATTGTATTTGATTTTGCTGCATGAGTCTCTGTTTTTGTGACTGTAGTAAGTATGCTTACAACCTAACCACCTTTGACTGTGATTTATTTAGACGCCGACGAGACCTGTGCCGAGTTATATTCAGAGACCAGATTATGCTGATCACCCGCTAGGTAACTTGACACAAATTAGAGTTATAGAATGTTAAGTTTGCTTTCTATTTTTCTTTTAATCGAAAAAGCCATTAAAACATGAAGGAGATACTGGAGAAGAGAACCTCTTCTTTTATCTGTTCTTCTCTCTTCCTCTTCTTCCCTTACATTTATTTCTGAAAATCAGTAAGTTATGGTTACAAGTATTTTTTTGAAGGCCAAAGTTTTTAGTGTGTTATATTTCAGAGGTGTTCAGGGAAGAAAAGAAAAGAAAAAAAAACCCCACCAACCCAAAACATGCAAGTCCTAGTCCTGTGATTAACTTCGTAACAGACAGCAGTAAGTTGGCTGTCACAGGTGAATTCTGCTAAGCCATTCTCACCGACATCAGTATCTGTCAGATACTGTCATAACGAAAATGTGTTATAACAAAGCCAAACAAAACTGCAGTAAATATCCTCCAAAAGAAAAATATGTAGAAGTTCCAGCTATTTTTGGACACAGAGGGAATGCTTTCAAAATTACTTGCTTCCTGGCTTGTTTGGTTATTTTCCCCTTTTTATATTGGTATTGGTGCTTTGCATTTCACCAAAAAGCTGCTATAAAGTGTTAGAATTATTTTTAAACTTCAGCTGTTCTTTGGTTATTCTTTACAGAATGTAAGGATTTCAAACAATACAAAATACTGTCTTTTAGGGGGTCATTCAAATACAAAACTGAGCTTGCACAGAATTTGGTAGGAAGAATTTATGTGTTTTCATTGGCTGATTATCACAGTAGTGTAACTAGAGGTATTCACAGGCTTACATAATCCTTTATGACTCCTTTAGAATATTACCTATTAATATTTATTATCTCTAAAGCAGAAAAAAAAAGAAAAAATATTTTTTTATTAATTAAAATAACTTCCATGTTAAGGTTATGTTTTGACTCGTTGGACGTGATGGTTTTATGCAGTAATTGAATAGGCATCCTGAGCACATGTGGGCATTGCAATATTGTGGAAAGGTCATTAATTCAAATTAATCTCGATAGTGATGACAATGCTATGACTTGGTGGGTGTGTTACGTTAGTGTCTGTGGTGAGAAAGATGCACTTTTATTGCCATTGCTGAGCCAACGAAAGTTCCTTGATTGGGCGTGCGTACCGATTACTTCTCTGTATAACATGGGGTATTTTTTTTTTTTCTTTTCTCCCTTTTTTCTTTTCAGGAATGTCTGAATCAGAACAGGCTTTAAAAGGAACCTCTCAAATAAAAATACTCTCATCTGAGGATATAGAAGGGATGCGAGTAGTGTGTAGGGTAAGAGGGGTTTGGTTTTTGTTATCAAGTGCCTTTATTCTTTAAAAATCTATGGTGATTTCACCAGTTGTGACAGCTCATTTGAAAGTACAAACTTTGAAACCACTTTTGAGCACTGAAAATCAGTTTGGGAAATTTGTTATTTTCTTGCGTCTTCTCTCCTTGTGACTTCCAATTCAGAGTTAACTATTTTGCAAGCAGAAAGATGACCTTTATCTGTTTTCTGGCTTTACTGTTGCTAGTGAGATAATCTGTGGATGAAATGTTGTTGCTGTTAAGAATATATTTTATAGTGCATAAGTGAGAACACAACTTTTTCCTCTCCAAGAGTTATTACTAAGTAAAAACTAAAAAGCAAAACAGAGCCCAGTCCCTAACAACCTTTGAAAAAGAGCTGTTCAGTAGTAATCCCTTCCTTGTGCATAAAGTCAAACTTGGAATTGTATTTAGGTAGTCTGATTTAATTTTATGGTATTCAAGGAAATTGTGGTCCAAATCTTAACAGGGGTATTTTCAATTCTCTCAGAGGTGGCATAGTAATATAACCTTGTCTCGAAGTCTTTCTAGAGCCCAAGTCTACTCAGCTCTCCTAGCAGTCTCAGTGGAGATGTAGAAAGTGGGTTGCTAATCTTCTAGGGGGAGTAGTCCTGGTTTTACTTTAAATCAGTACTTTTGTTTCATTTGCAGCTTGCTAGAGAAGTATTGGATGTTGCAGCCATGATGGTGAAAGCAGGTGTGACTACTGAAGAAATTGATCACACTGTCCATTTAGTAAGGTTATTTTATTGTCCATTTGATGCTTATAAGTGATTCCTTCTATCTCTTTATTTTTGGATGATTGTTGTGTGGTTTTCTTTGTTGTTGCATGAACTCCTTCTCTGTATTTTGAACCATTCCCCGATTTGAAGATAGTGGGTAGTGCAGATGTTAAAAATACATTATGGCACAATGGTAAATTCAGAATGTGTTAGGAGCTCCTGGGCCTCTCTCTGTATCAGCTCCTTCCACGATTTCCAGCTTCAGATTCCCTCTAAGTTTCTTCACCTGTTTTCTTGGTTAACATCATGTAACTTTCTTCTAAACCCTTTTTTACTCCACAGACACCATTACATAAAGAACGTCATATATAGGCCATGGACTTTTTGTGCCCTGGGTTACTGGTTAAGACGTACAGAGGAAGAAATTTAATTAATTGTGACTGGGAATGAAAATCATGAGGAGCCTGAGAGAGACTTGAAAGATGATGTTTGATGCAGTCAGACAAACTAACGCCACAATCCAGCGAAGTATTTGAAATACATATTCAAGTATTTTCCTGGCTTAACTATTCATAGATACTTGAATTGTGTAAATTTTTTTTCTTTTTTTGCTGGTTTGATTAGTCCGGAGGTTTCTGTTGAACTGCATTAAACATTAAATTCTTTTCTTATGCATAATGTCTTAATATGAACATAGTTTAAATGGTATTATCCCTCCTCAGCAAGTTTTGGGAAGTATTGCATGGCGGATTGTTGATATCCCTGACCGATACTGGTACTTTGCCATTTTCAAGCAGTATTCATTTTGAAAATAAAAAAAGTTAACACGGTGTTATTTTCCAGAATTGCTCAGTATGTTGCGTAGTGCGGTATGTATACGTAAGGGTATATAGAACATGTGTGTCAATTTTGCAAAAATCCCCAAAATGTGGTTAGAGTGAGTCCAAAGGAAGGAGCTTAAGGTTTTAAAGTTAGGGGTGAGAGCGTGGTGCTAATTGTTACTTTGGCCAGCTTGTGTGTTTTGCAAAAAAATACATAAAGTGGTAGACCAGGTGCTTAAAAAGAGTCTTCGAAAATGGCTGGTTTTTTAACTGAATAAATACTGCCATGAATTGTTTTAAACCTGAGTATTTCAGCATTGGTAGTTGAACATACAAATGAGTAGAAACAAAATTAAAGTGGCTTTACTTTCTTCCCAGTAAGAAATGCAAAATATAACAAAATACCGCAGGGCCAAAGAACCTTATTTTCAAGAGTCACTTCTTTTCAAACTCTTACAGTAAAGCTGTTGTGCGTACGTATTTCTTTGGGCAAAACTTACTAATGTAAAGCGTAAATTGTATTTTCTAAATTAGGCTTGCATTGCAAGGAATTGCTATCCTTCCCCTCTGAATTATTATAATTTCCCTAAGTCGTGTTGTACATCAGTGAATGAAGTGATCTGTCATGGAATTCCTGACAGGAGGCCACTGCAGGAAGGAGATATTGTTAATGGTAAGTGCTGTGAAAATTTAACCTTCAGCATTTCTACTCTCTATCCAGTTGATCCATGCAGTAAGGTGAGGGTTCACTAGCAGGCAGCATGGTTGGAGTGGCTCCTTGAGAGGCTTTTGATCTAATTTACTAACTAACTTCTGCTCTTCACATATTTAAATTAATGAGCTTCTTTAATAAAATAATTTCAAAAGTTTGGTCCACTTCAAGAGCTTTATAATTCTTCTGCCCTGGTCTGTGCATTAGTATAGCGCCTGAGTAGACCCTTGTGGGCTAGGTTCCAGTTGTTCTGGACTGCATAAATAGTGAATAAAATGTATATTGAATTATTCAATTGGATTAGTTCTGTGTGGATTCTTAATTACATGGCTCTAGATCCTTTAGATTTCGCTACAGACTTGATGATTATGATGACTGTAAAGGATCCTAATGGTGAGGCATTGTATAAGCACATGTTAAAAAAACACACCCTTTTTTTGAGTGCCTCCCAGCCTAAAAGCACCAGCTACTTTTTGTTCAGGGTACTACTCCAGGTACTTAGGCTTTCTTGGGTGATGAGGGATACCTCTGTAAATTGCATGACAATTTTTCTGTTTTCTCATTCATTTCTTCTTGGTTTGGCAGTAAAAATGAAAGAAACGTGTTTGTACAAACATCTGCACCTTTGTTTACTGCATTGCTTTGCTTTTCTCTTATCCGTAAATAAATACCCTGCATAACCTAAGATGATGTCCCCTGGGAGCAGATTCTTAATCAAAACTGATCTCTTTTCAAGATGTCAACTTGATGTACAAATCTACAATATTGTGCATGTGTTCACATATGACGGCAGGTTTTAAGTTTTATACTTGTCTGCTATGAGGGACAGGATGCTAGAATAGATGAGAACTGTGTCTAAGCTGTTGGGCCTGTTACCATGTTTTCTAAAAGAACTATTTGCAAAAAGCAGCTTGTATGGATGTTCTTAATGCAAACAAGCATATCTCTTTTTGGAATGAGTTAACCTAAAAAGGATCTTTTTTTTTCTCATTAAAACTACTTATGCTGCTGTTTTTCAAGAATGAGTTAATCACTTGTTGTTTACAACCAACTTTATACACAAAGCAAACAAGTTAGAGTTTTGCCGGAAGATAATTTTAAACTCCTATGTTCTTCGAAACCTCAGTTGTTTAAGCATGCCCTTCTCATTCTTGCTGCTTGCCTGATACTGAATGTTTAGATTCTCTCATTTGACAGAAAAAACAGGAAGTTTAAAGTCAATTTGGTGTATTTTTTCTTAGTCAGGAATCTTATTGGAAAAGTTGCTGTGTATTTAATGTTGAGGAATTCTACCTTTTTGTCTGGAAGCAACGGGTTTTGGCTTTACAATTTTTGCAGAGGTGTGACTTACTACTCTAAACATGCATAGATATTACTGAAGTTAAAACATGGGCTAAAACATGATTACATACCTTTAAACTCCCCCTATTAAGATTGGAAGTAACTCTAAGAAAATATTTGAAGCAGGTAAATCACCATGGTGCCAAGAGCTTCTCTTTCCTGTTTTTAGCTAGAAAAGCAGTCATCAGCTTGCTGTATCTGTGCTGCGTTGCTGTGGGGTTTCTTTCTCTTCCCTTTTTTTTTTTTTTAAATCAAACCATTCACCAGTGAAACACTATCTTATACTGTACATTCTATAGGATTAATTTACAAGCATGAGAGATTTGATGGTGTTGGAAGAGTTTATATCTGAAATTCTTCCAAAGTAAACTTGCAACTTCACAGTTACGATCCTACATTTTTACATGTGTGTGTTGTCCTTTTGCAAATCAAGAGACAAGAAATGAGAAATGCAGTGCTAATATGACAATATGTCTGGAATTCTTTGCAGTGGATATTACTGTCTACCGTAATGGCTACCATGGAGACCTGAATGAGACATTTTATGTTGGAGAAGTCGATGAGGGTGCGAGGAGACTTGTCCAAACAACTTACGAGTGCCTAATGCAAGCCATCGATGCAGGTAAACCGTTTGGCTGGGGCCTGAAGCATTGTGGTTTTGGTTCTCATATGCGAGTGCTCATATGTGCTATTACTTGGGAGTGACTTCCGTTGTAGAGCAGAGTGTGTTAGTGTGTGTCACCAGCGGATGATGTATGTTGTATAATACAAGAACTCTACAAGTGGCACAGTTCTGTGGGTGGTAGTTGCAACTTGAAATGTGGGTTGACAAGGAAGATGATGAGCTGATCCACATATGATGATATTTACATGGAAACAGCCTTTTTGGACTATTAGTTAGATGAATTAAGACATCCTTAATTTGAGTAGTTTAGAGAATGTGAAGAAAAAAAAAAGGTGTGTGTTGGAGAACCAAAGTATGGCTTTCTACTTTTATGATTTGTATGGAGTCACACAGTGAACCGATAAGGTAAAACACTGTTTGAACACTTGAATGTATCTCTGCATCCCTGCCAAACCTGGTGCTTATTTCAAAAAGCTAATTATGAGCTCTTGATTTTTCAACTGTGGGAGTGTGCCAGAGAATACAGATCCATATCCTTCAGTACCCACAAGACTTTAATTGCGTTGCTTAGATGTAACTCAGGACAGCTTCGCTGACTTATACAATGAGATGGAAAGGCAGCTACAGGATGTCAGTTCAACTTAATTCATAAAGGAAGAGACTAAATTCTCTTCAACAAACGGAGAAAACAAAAATCTCCCAAGTCCCTTGGAGTATTTGTATTGTCTTGATCTTTTGTACCCTGCAGCTCCTTAAAATCCCCAATAATATTTACTCGCTTCATGGCCTCTAAAAACTGAAGTTCCAGGTGCTATATACGAAGGCTTTAAACTTGCCTTTAATCCAAGTAAATGGGGGGGGGGGAACCAAAAAAACATAAAACCCAACCTTTGCTTAATAATTTGGAGATAGCTAGCCAGGCTGAAAAGACAAAAATCCATATGAACAATGTCTTGTGTATCTCTGCTGTGATCAAGGAAATATTGCAGAGTGGAGCTATGAAGAATATAGATTACCTCTTTAAGTAGAATACTCTTCTGAAATGACCACTTTGTTTTTCAGAGCTAAATCAGAATAATGATTATCTTTGCTCCTGTACTTCATTTTTATAGCAAATGTTATGTGTGGTGTCTTTTCTCTCTTATATCCTGGCTTTGATGAAAAAAAACTATGAAATTTCACTATGACAGAAATTCATCTTTGTGTTATCTCATTATAATGAGATCTAAATCCTTGGTGTAACTTTTTCTTTACCAAATTTTTGGATGCTCTAACAGGTTTTAATGGGTTCTAGATATTCCCTGCTAGTAGGAATTCCAACAGTGAGTGTCTCAGCTGTTAAAAAAGGGTCACCTCTCCCCTGTTTAAATCATCTTAATTTCCTGGCTTTGGACCATCAGTGCTCTTAATTAGGGAAGTTGTATGAGAGAGAAGGGTAGAGCTTCCTGCTGCACTGAGATGAGTTGCTTGGTATTGTCAGGCCTGAAGGAGATGGTGCTACTTCACAACTATGTAGCACAAATCCAACGGATCAACTTTTCCTCTCCTTCCCCCCATCTCTTGTTTTGTATTTTGGGAAAAGCATGCGCATTCCAGTAATCTAAATTTCTTGTTATTTCTTGTAAATTCAGCTTACTGGTTTGAGCTGTAGTTGTTTACATTAGCAGACAACTGAACTGAATGGCTTGCTTCATGTAAAGTTTCAGCTGTGTATGTGACCTCTGGTTAAGATGGCTCCAAATAACCACACAACCTCTGGCTCCCGAAGGAAAAGCATGTATTTAGGGAGTTGTGAATGATCTTGAAATAGCTTGCTTTTTTTTTTTTTTTCTTTTTGTGGCTGAAGGTTGCTTTCAGTATGCATCTTCATTTGCTGATGGATGAGGCATTGTTGCTTTCATGGTATTATTACTCCCTTGTCCAAGTGCTCAAAGTGAGTTTTTCACACCTTTTTATCTGTCTCAAACTCTAAATTTTAAGGCTTCCTGAAAGTATTGTCAAAAAAGTTAGACCTGTATATGAACATTCTTACTTGCTGTAGCATTGTCACTAAAAATCTTGTCTAAGAGTGGAGATACCCGTTTTGGCTTTTTTTTTTTCCTCCCCCTTACTGGTCTTTCATGGATAATCATTTTTCTTCTTTATTTGCGTGCGCTTTTCACATAGTAGTAGAGAGAAGTATATATTAACATACAGTTCATACATATAGTTTCATACATGGAAAGACCCACTGCAACTCTGGGTATAAGTTACCAAGTACTTTGGAAGTCTTTTGTTGGCTTTAATTTCAGACTTCAACATCCTTTTAAGATATGAGCACTTATATCCAGGAAAAGAAGAAAGTAGTGTTTTTCTGAAGAAGGCTTTTTTCTTCTTTCTCTCTCATTCTTTCTTCTGTGTGAGACTGTTTCCTCTCTCTCCTGTGTTACTGCAATCACTTACATACTTAAGTGGCCATAGGAAGTTGCATATTAGGACAGATGACCATATAAGCTCTGAGTGCTACAGAGGTATTAGCCTGAACGATGTTTGGTGCTTTGTTACTTTGTTACGTTGAAAGAAACTCTATACATTTCCATCTGCATCTCTTTAATTTTGCAGTAAAACCTGGGGTTCGGTACAGAGAACTGGGAAACATTATTCAGAAACATGCTCAAGCAAATGGATTTTCAGTGGTCCGGAGCTACTGTGGGCATGGAATCCATAAACTTTTCCATACGGCTCCTAATGTGCCACATTACGCTAGTGAGTATTCATTCTCTTTGGGTTGTCCTGTAGACCAGAAGTGGAAATCTGCTGCTTATTTTTGGCTTACTATGAATGGATTTTTAAAAGGAAAAAGTTCATTTTAGAAGCCTTCAAATTATGTAACAAAATAATGAAAATTACAGGGAATAAAGGGCAAAATTTGTTCAGATGCAGAATACCAGAAACTTAAATACAAGAGCTGAGAGCAAGAAATACCAGCAGATGGTGGAGATAGAAGCGAGACCATTTAAGTAAAAGAAAATTGTTCTGGTTGTTGTGTCATCTGGGTGTCTTGAGATTTTTCAAGCACCTAGGTGATTTAGACAATTTAATAAATTTACACAATTGGATTGGGGGATGGGGAATCTGCATATAAGAATTGATGCAAATTGTCTACAGCAGCAAAGTAGCTTGGGGCTGGCGGTTCCTGTGCAATACTGGGGTTTGTTCCAGCTCTCACATGCCAGGCTGAGTCGGATCTAAGCTGCACTGTGCTTCAAGATGAAGCAGGGCAGAGGAACAGGGCTGAAGCCTTTCTTCGGTCAAACCATGCTCCTGGAGGCTGTGCCTCAGTTCATGTGCATCCACATAAACATTTTTGGTGTATATAACATCAGAAAAGTTCCAGTATTATTGTCCTGGATGCCTTGAAATTCTCTGCCTTTTTAACGTTAGCAGCACAAATACAGCATTATCACCCTGACACTACTATGACCCCATTACCCAGAGTGATGGGGGGGCAATGTGTCTTTCATAAATGGAATCATGGGATTACTTAACTGCTATCATAATTTGGCAATTTATTGGAGCTAATGGTTCAGTGGAAACAAATTAAGACGTTTTAAGACTTCTCTGAGTATCTTAAATGCTGCTTCTTTTTATTGATTTTCTAAAAATTACTTTTTTCCTGTAATACAGAAATTCCTGTATTACTTTTATTGTGTTCTTATAGAACTGGAGTTCAGCTGGAGAGAAAGACTGCAATTAATTTTAAGCTTCTTGAGTAAATGTTAGTGTTGGAGGAGGGGGGGAAGGAAGGAACTGAGGGAAATCTTAATGTAGAATTACAGTTGGACAGGTGAGCAGGTCATCTCTGAAGGGCTTTTCTGACTTTA